AACTGACACAAGATTAACCAGCACAGATGAATACTGTCATCTGTAAGTGATAATGGCCATATGTAATTGCCCCTGGGATCCCTTTCTGATATTTTCCCTTTTGCTTTTCTGATTGTTTTCCAATTACTATTTCAAATGACCTTTTCTACTTCTTACGATATTTTGGTCCTTACAATTTCAACCACATCCTATAATTGCAAGATAACTTGAACCAACACCAAATTTCCCAGTCATTTTCTTTCCTTGCTATATAACAAGGTTCAGACACAAGCTACCATTTCTCTTAAGATAATATTTATACCTTTGAGCTGCTTCCAGTACCAAAATCCATGTGCATGTGGGCACGTCAATGCAAATAACTTTTGCCTGGTGCCCTCTCGTTACTATGAATGGCAGAAGGAGCTGATGGAAGACGTACCCTGTACAGAGTCAGCAAATCTATGTTCTAAATCTAAGTTGCACTTACAGCTCTCTTAAGTAATGAAAACTTGTTTCCCTTTGGTTTCCTTAGCCACAAAATAAAGATAATATCATGCATTCTTAGGATACCCCCTAAAACTATTTTTCCCATATAAATGTTCAAAAAGGGATGTTAACATGCTTTGGGTGTTTCATTAAGCTGTTTATTAGTTTTAGTAAACACTGACTCCAAGGCGCTAAGGCAAAGGTTACAAACTGGTAACCTGAGGGACCACATTGAGTCAATAGAAGTGTTTTGTTGGTCCAGTAGTGCTAATTTTTAAATTTAAGTCAGTTACTGAAAGGTTTAAGATTTGAGAGACTTCACATTTATATTCCGGCTTCCTTTGAAAAATCTGAAGATTTGGAGCCCTCAGTCCGCATTGCTGCTTGGCAACAACTTGCTGGAGCTAAGCAATGATTGCTTCCTTGTAAAGGCATAGGAGCGCTGTAATTTGCCACAGCCCCCACCACTCCGTAGTCTACAACACCTAGTCTTGACCACAGTCCCCACCACTCCCTAGTCTACAACACCTAGTCTTGGCCACAGCCCCCACCACTCCCTAGTCTACAACACCTAGTCTTGGCCACAACCCCCACCACTCCCTAGTCTACAACACCTAGTCTTGACCACAGTCCCCACCACTCCCTAGTCTACAACACCTAGTCTTGGCCACAACCCCCACCACTCCCTAGTCTACAACACCTAGTCTTGGCCACAACCCCCACCACTCCCTAGTCTAAAACACCTAGTCTTGACCACAGTCCCCACCACTCCCTAGTCTACAACACCTAGTCTTGGCCACAGCCCCCACCACTCCCTAGTCTACAACACCTAGTCTTGACCACAGTCCCCACAACTCCCTAGTCTACAACACCTAGTCTTGGCCACAACCCCCACCACTCCCTAGTCTACAACACCTAGTCTTGGCCACAGCCCCCACCACTCCCTGTTTTACTGCATCCAGTTGCTCAACTTACTTCTTTTGCTGTCTGGTTCCTGAAGGCATTTGAATTTGGAAGTTTCCTGTTTTAAAGGGATATTACACAGCACATAGTTGACTGCCCAATTTGCAGCCATCAGATTGATCCTATTCACAAATAGTTCCAAAGAAGAAAATCTATAATATTATCTGGTAATCCATTGGGACATTGGAACGTCTCCCTTATATCCAGAAATTTTTCGTCACCATAAATAAACCAACAAGAATAATACAAGTTTAGAGCTAGATGACATCTTCTAGCTCATCTGGTCCAATCCCTTTATATAACAGTTGAGAAGACTAAAGTACTAGATAGTGAAGATGCTTGCTTAAAGCCCAGTAGCCCAACAGATGCAGAACTAAAGCCACAACTAGACCCCCAGTGGAAAGCTTTCCAGGGTAGGCATAGAAAACAGCTGCTTACTTTTCTTTATGAAAAACACATTAAGCTTGGACTCAAGAACAATAAGTGTTTTTTCTCTTGTTCTAGGCTTTAGATTCTCAGACAGCTGATTTTCCTAACCTTAAATACCATGAACACTCTCCTTTGAACCCTGTATTCGTTTCCCAGGGCTACCATAGCCAAATGCCACAAACCAGGCAGCTCAAAACTGCAGAAACCTGTTCTCCCACAGTTCCTCTAGGGGCTAGAATTATGAAATGAAGATGTCAGCGGGGCCACGCCCCCTTTGAAGTCTCTCAGAGTGACTCCTTCCTTGCCTCTTCCTAACTTCTGGTGGCTTCCTTGCCTTTCTGGGCTCGTAGCTACATCCCTCCAATCTCTGCCTCTGTTGTCACACAGCCCTCTTCCTTGTGTCTGTCTCTGTGTCCTCTCTCTCATAAAGACATCAGTCATTGGGGCTTCCCTGGTGGCGCAGTGGTTGAGAGTCCGCCTGCCGATGCAGGGGACACGGGTTCGTGCCCCGGTCCGGGAAGACCCCACGTGCCGTGGAGTGGCTGGGCCCATGAGCCGTGGCCGCTAAGCCTGTGCGTCCGGAGCCTGTGCTCCGCAATGGGAGAGGCCACAACAGTGAGAGGCCAGCATACCGCAAAAATAAGTGACTAATTTATTTGATCTTCTCGATACAATAGGCATTGTTTCAGAGAAATAGGTTAAGTAACCCAAGGTCCCATACAAATTAAGGGCGAATGTCAACATCCCCCAGGACAAAGCTTTAGAGCCCCAAACCTGGTTCTGTGGCCAACCTGTGTCTCATAGGTGCCCATGTCAACTCAGACCTCCAGCAGGCTACTTCAGACAGTTTGGTCACTGAACTAGGTATGCGATTCTTAGGGTTTTTTCTTCCATGGTTGTAAACATCTCTTCCCAGTTAGCAGAACATCCCAGATGAACGTTCTTTAAATTCTACCTCTGTGTTAACTCATGTCATGAAAAAGCTTACATTCTATATTATGCTACTGTATCTCTCTGCAGACATGTATTCATTAAATGAGTACCACATACCACTGATATTAAGGGGAGCTTTTTCACATTTTAACGCCTTTTAAATTAGAATGCATCACCGGCTATGGGAAGTCATAATTTATTTGGCAATGTTTTCCCTTTCTTAGTGACACACTAAATAGTAGTGTATCTGTTATCAGTGGTGTCTTAGATCCAACAAAACATGGTATTTAAAAATTTAACTCCAGTCTTTTCCAGGCTTGATATAAGAAATAACTCCCTGAAGACTACCTCCCCGCTTTCTGCAAAGTTATTATTACACATCATACAATGTATGTTTAATGCCTCGAAAACAAATCTGTCACAATAAATCTCATAGAGTTCAATGCTAAGGAAAGCACTCTGTCTCCCACTGAACGTCCTGCCCCTCTTGCTGGATAGTCATAATAACGGATTCTTGCAACTCTCTGTTTTAACAAAGACAGCTAAAAAGCTCCAACCTAGCTTCTCCCTCTGATCTTCCATTTACCATCTTTACCTTCATTTTTTTTTTTTTTTTTTTTTGCGGTACGCCGGCCTCTCACTGCTGTGGCCTCTCCCGTTGCGGAGCACAGGCTCCGGACGCGCAGGCTCAGCGACCATGGCTCATGGGCCCAGCTGCTCCGTGGCATATGGGATCTTCCGGACCAGGGCACGAACCCGTGTCCCCTGTATCGGCAGGTGGACTCTCAACCACTGCACCACCAGGGAAGCCCTACCTTCATTTTAATCATGGTGAAGAAGGTGTTTTTTTTTCCTTTTCAGAAGTAAGTGGGGCACAACTAAACAAATAGACTATGCATGTTTCCTAAAATACGCCAGCTACGGATGAGATGCCCTCCTAGATCCGTGATCCTTGATCTTTCCTCTAAACACGCACAGCACCCTCCTGACGGTACCACCCATCACCACCACCCCCCCCCCCAATAAATCAAGGTGAGGGTGGAGAGAAGATGACACGTGACAGTCTGCCTACAGGAGCACATCAGAATCCTCAGGGCTGTGCCAAGAGCTGCTAGTGATTCTGACCTACATCCAGTCCTGCTTTGGTCTCCTTTCTATGCCCAGGAGAGCGACTTGCACACAGTAAGCCTCAATAAATTGTTCCCGGAGATGACTGAGAATAATACAAAATTAGCCATAAACATCTGGAAGGGACCCTGGCAATGAACAACTCTGGGGTTTGAGCTTCATTACCCTCTAGGTGTAAGCGTATTGTCTGGCCAATGAGAAGTGAACAGAAGTGCCGTGTGAGACTTCCCAGAAATCTCCTTAAAGGGAAGGAGCATGCCTTTCTTCTTTCCTTCCTCCACCTCACTGCCTGGAACTCACCTATGACGGCTGGGGCTCCAGCAACCATCTTGGGCCAAGAAAGATGGGTCAAAGGACCCTCAAGAGCCCAAATGGTAGGACAGAAAGTCGAAGGATTTCAAGTCTCTGATGACTTTGTGAAGCTGCCTACAGCCCCAGGCTGCTTCCCTCCCAGACTTCCTTGTGTGTGAGAAGAGAAAGCCTGGGGGTCTTTATTCTTAGGACTCTCTTATAGTCAGCCGAACACAGTTCCTCACTGATACAGCATCATAAAATGATCCGTATAGGAAGGTTATAGATCAGGGAAGGGATGCAAGTCATAAAACGAGCCCAGGCCTGGAGGTTAGAACCCCTCTTTGCGGTCTTTGCTATGCTAATTATGCCTTTAGCTCCATGAACTTAAGCAACACACTTCACCTCTATTTACTCAAATCTTCTCTTTAAAAATAAATAAATAAAACTTCCTCCCACAGAGTTATGATGGCTAAATGACATAAAGATGTGAAAGTTGGGTTTTTTTAAATAAGTTTATTTATTTATTTTTGGCCATGTTGGGTCTTCATTGCTGTGCGTGGGCTTTCTCTAGTTGTGGTGAGCAGGGGCTACTCTTCGTTGTGGTGCACGGGCTTCTCATCGTGGTGGCTTCTCTTGTTGTGGAGCACGGGCTCTAGGCGCACGGGCTTCAGTAGTTGTGGCTCGTGGGCTCTAGAGCTCAGGCTCAGTAGTTGTGGTACACAGTCTCTGTAGTTGTGGCTCACGGGCTCTAGAGCGCAGGCTCAGTAGCTGTGGAGTGTGGGCTTAGTTGCTCAGCGGCAAGTGGGATCTTCCTGGACCAGGGCTCGAAGCCGTGTCCCCTGCATCGGCAGGTGGGTTCTTAACCACTGCGCCACCAGGGTAGTCTCTGGAAAGTCTTTTGAGATGGTAAAACCATTCACCATTGTTACGGTTGGTTGTAGTATTGATGCTCTACAGAATAATCCTTCCATTAGCCCATTTCCTGTTAAATGGGTCAATTCTAGACTCCCATGTTCTGGGCAGTGATGTTGACATTAAAACTGAAACCATAGAGCTTAAGAAATCACAAGTCATTTTGATAGAGCACAGACAGTTTTGCAAGGACCTTTCTCTTCACTGGGGAGTGACCGTCTTCTCATCAAGGGAGGCAGAATCATCAACGATGATCAATCCTTTTATGCTGACATTTACATGGAAGATGGCTTAATAAAGCAAATTGGAGACAGTCTGATTACCCCTGGAGGAGTGAAGACCCTCAAGGCCAGTGGGAAGATAGTGATCCCTGGAGGCACAGATATTAAAAAAAAAGAACTGAACAGTGGTTAACAAAGCTAGAATTCTTTCTAAAGAAAAGAAGGTGGGAGAAAAGCGGGCATTTTAAAAGTCTTCACATTATAAGGTAGTTGTAAAGAGTGATCAGCTGTTTGCTATGACCTCCAAGGATGCAGGCTTCTGGTTAGAAGAGTAAGTGTTCCCTGCTTGGGCACTGTCTTCGACCTGGTTCCCTAAAAGCAGAGATTGGTGGTCTTCTGGGAGAGATTTCGGGAGGAGAAAGTAAGGCACTTAGGGAAGTGGGTTAGAGCAGGAGAAGAAGATAAAGATGTGGGTTCCCCTCAAGTCTAGCCTCAGCCTGATCCCAGAGGGAACTCTGGAGCTTATATAACATCAAGGAATTGTGTCACCTCAAGGCAACAGGACCAGAATTTTAGACCTCAGTATCAATCAGGCACTGGGGCAGACCACCCCTGAGAGGGTGAGGGGACAATAATCTCCCAAGTGTCTCTGAGTGAGGAGGTCCCCGTGGGCTGAGGACAATTCTTGAGGAGGGTGCAGCTGAGATCCCATAGCCAACACTTACAGCAGCTGTGGGATGCATGCACTGGCCCATGACGGGGGAGCTGGGTTGTGTCCCCCAGCGTCTACTATAGGAACAGAACACTGAAACACTGGAGTGGGTTATGGAGGAAGCATCTGCCTACTTCTCTAGAGACCCTGAAAAGTAGAACCAACTCACCTGTGTGGCAGAGTCAAAATAAATGGGCTTGCCATGAAGAGATGGGTGGATGAGACACTTTCACAATAGACCGTGGGGCTCTGCAGTTCTGTTTTCCGGCATCCTGGGAATTCAACTGCAAACCTGGCAGAAATGAGAACATGTGGGACTCGAGAGCTCCATCCTGAGAGTGCCCCCCGATAGAGAAGAGAGATGAATCAGGGAAGCCTTTTCTCCTTATGCCTTATTCTTCTTTCCCCGATGGTCAGTGGCCACTGTCAGAGGCAGTTTGGAGTAATCATTAAAAAGGCAAAGTCTACAGTCAACCCCCTGTTTGTTCTGCCCTTAGACTAGTTAGCTCAGCTCCCTAAGCCTTGCTCTCCCAGCTGTAATAAGGACAGTTCTTGTGGCAGAGGCGGCTGGCTGGCCACCCATCCACAGTGCAGGTGTGTGGCTGCCCAGTCAGCACCTACATTTCCAAGTCCCCCTTGTGGCCACATGTGACCGATTCTCACCAATGGGGTGTGAGCAGAAGTGACTGTCCCTGACCAGAGTGGTTAAGAAGTGGGTGATTCCCCTACCAATTCTTTCCCCAACCAACTACTGAAAGGAGAGAATTCTGAAAACTTAGAGGAGAGCATAGGCATAGGTGGAAGGAGCCTAGATTCCTACATCACACAGAAGGCTGCGTACCCAGGATTACTCAGAATAGACTGAAGTGAGTGAGAAATCAGCTTTTCATCCTGTTAGAGCTCAGAGATTTGGGGATTTGTTAAAACTAGTGTTAACCCAAAACAATTGTAAAACAATTGTAAATTCCTACTTTAAGTTTGTCATGGATTGAGATGACATCTGTAAAGAATTTTAGGCCCCTTGATAATGTCTATCATCTTTCCTCACAAAGTACCCCCAAATGAACTGAGTCTATTGAAAGGTGATAGGTGGGTGTTTCTCAATATTTTGTTGAAGAATATGCAAATGCGGCCACAAGACAAATTCCCTAGCCCCTCTTAAAGTCTGATATATAGAAATTCTGGAGCACTGAGCACTGCTTAGCAACCTGGCGGATAATCAGCACTTATAATTGTTAGTTATGAGTATTAACAGAGAAGGGATAGAATTTTTATGCAAACAATAAGAAAAATCAATAGCTACTGAATGTTTACTATATATTAGATACCATACTAAGAAGTTGTGTATGTTATTTATTTAATTCTAGCCATAAAGTGATTGAGGGAGAGATATTTTATCCCCATTTTACAGATAAGAAAACTGAGATTCAAAAAAGTTAAGTAACTTGCTGAGTTAGTAAGTAGCAGAACTGGCTTTGAATCCAGGTCTGTTCATTCCCGAAGCTGTGTCCTTTCCTCTCTACTATGATGTATCTGGTTCCAGGGCTGCCCCTCAGAGTGTAAGGACTCTAGTCCCTGGGGGTAATTTAATCACCACAAAACCATAGCCAGATCCCTGTCCCGTGACAGATTTTTTTTTTTTATCCCCTTAAAGTCAGCCGCCAGTCCCAGAAAGTTTTTTTAAAGTCATGATTTATATAGGTCAGCTCACAGCAACATTTTCAATCTTAATTTTAATCACCCTCCCCGCCACGCCACGAGAAAACTTACAAGGGGAAAGCTTGGAGAGGTTAGTGATTTCTGACCCCCACATTAAAGACACTGTCCTCAGAAGTCCCCTCTGGCTTCCCAAGTGAGCTCTTGGCGTCTGTGATTTTCCGCATCACCGCTGAGAGCTGAAAAGGTTTGGACTCTGCCAGACGTCTCTGCACGGGAGGGTGACCTAGACAGGCCCTTGGGCCAGCTCAGTAAATCAGAGGAAAACAGAAGGCCCAGATGCTCTATGTCACATGGAAAAGGTAAAGGCCTTCTCAGACCATGAGTGTATCTATCACGGGTGGCCCAGTGTGACAGACAAGAGAAGATGGGTGGAGGGGGCAGGGGGCCAAAGCACTGTCTCCTCCTAAAGAACACAGGGGGCAGCGTTCTCTGCAGAGAACCTGGCTTGAGTCCACCGAGCTTTCCTATTCCAATCGTTTGTACCTTTAAACCTTCACAACATTGCTTTTGTAGAGAATAGGTGTGCTCTCAGTGCTAAATTCTGACCTTGGTCTTTAATAGCAACTCAAGGCAAGGGAAACAAGGAAAGTGTTACTGACACTTACACTTGGCATTTCACTTCCTGAGTTTCTCCACAGCATTGGGGATTTGAGGGTGTAAATGGATCCTGTTTCTCCTCCCCTCTGGATTCTGAACCAATGGGGAAGTAATACACAAGAATCAAAGATCACATGGATGACCTTCTTGCCGAGAAGGCTGGTTTGAAGACCTGGCTGGGATCCAAGGCCCAAAGAAGCGTCTTCTCCTCCCACTAAGAGGAAATCACGCACTGGTCACAGGATAAACGACCATGGGGCATCGCATACAGGACCCGCGGCAGAGTGGAGGAAAACTGGGGACCTGTGGGCAGGCAGAAGTGCTGAGCAAGGTGGGTAGGCACCATGCCGCCTCCCCATCTTCCCCAGGAAGCCTAGAAAGAAGGGCTGGGACTGTTCCTCCAGTTATATTCGCCAGGGAGGAGTGGAGGAAGGGTCCGCTCTTTTGTAGGGAGTGGGGCAAATAAGCTTTCCTTCCAACAGACTGCTGAAGACAAGGAGAAAGGATCCTTTAATTCCGGAGGCGGTTTAGAAGCCCTGGTGGACGCCCAGAGCGAGAAAGCCCATCTGGACCTCGGAATTAGCCACACCATCTCCATCTGCCAGCCGCCCCAGGTCTCCTTTTCTGCACCAAGAAGCTGACCAGCTTTGCAACTCTTGGCTGACTAGCTGGGACACATCAGCATCGATGGATCCAAGTCACCTGTGTCAGGCTCCTCCAGCCAGCGCCTGCTGGCTGTTTTTCCACGTCCCCGCTCCTGAAAGCATTGCGCAGCACTGACATTTTGAAGTAGTGTTTTTCCTGAATTTACTGCATTTTCCCTTCTTGGAGGTAATAGATGGGCTGCTTGGCTTTCCTTCGATGCAGACACTGCTCTGTGGTCGCCACAGCTCCAGAATGTGTGAGCAGATTAGGCAGGGTGAGAATTACAGCATCCTGGGCTCCACATGCTTCCCTGATTGGCATGTCATTTTCCAATCTGCTAGCACTTCACAAACAAAACATTATTTTAATTACTTTGAGCTATACTAATGGGTCAGATTTTTCTCTGCTTTTTTTCCTTTCTGCTCCGTGTGGCATCCCTGTGCTGTCTCCCGTAATGACAGACCTCCGGTTACAAGGCGTGCCGTGGGAGGCCAAGGAAAGGCCCCTTCCCATGCCTTCTCCCAGGACCTTGGGATCTTAAGAAACTGGTCCTGGCTCCTGGCCAAGGGTTGCCCTGTTGAGCTTGTTTTGATACCCAGAGAATGAAAGATTTCTGAAGCAGGCTTGACTTGCAGGTTTGGTTGATCTGATCTTCTACCCACCATAAATGATCTCTTACTTAAAATACTGTGCATTTTAAACTGTCCTGTTGCCCAAGCAGGGTGGAATGTGACAGAAGACGCCACATACGTGCAGGGGTTTAACGCAATGGGTTCCTCCTTGTGCGATGGCCATATTCCTGAGAGGCCAGGCTGCTGCTGGGGAGTCCAGGGGAGCCAGATCCCACGGGAGCCAACAAGAATTGTAGACAAATATCCTTAGGCTGAATAATAGCGATAGTATCTTGAGTTTGTCTCGCTTCCAGAAACTTCATAAGAACAAAGGGGTGTTTTACCTACATGTGATCTCCCCTTCACAGATTTTTTTTTTTTTTTTTTTTAATGAGAAAGTATCTTCTAAAGAGTCTTTAAAACACCCCCTCAGCCCACCCAAGTTCAGGCCTGGGCTGTTTCTCACCTGGATTAGCCTCAGGTCCCCCCCCTCAGCTCTTGCCCCCCGCCCTCCCTCCCTCTCACGGATGCCAGCTTCAATCTCCTAGTGCCCAGTGTTAATCATATCTGTCTCCCGGTTAACACTTGTCAGAGGCTCACCTTCCTAAAGGGAGTACAGGTGCCCCAGTGTTGATCCAAGGCCTGCCATGAAGTCGCCCTGACAGCCTCCTCCACTGTGCCCGCCCCACCAGCACTCAGCCCTGCTCAGGGGTAAGACTCCATCTGTCCTCCAGACACGCACCGTGCACCCCCCATCCTGCCTGGACAGCCCCCGGTCCCTCCTCCTCCCAGAATCCTGCCCATTGTTCTAAGCCAAAAGCACCACCCTCTTCCAAAAGCCTAGCCTGTTCTTCTAGGCAGACAATTTCTTCGGGTGTCCGTGTGGATGCACTATATTCTATTTCCATTCTCTGTCCATCTGTGTGCATGTCTTAACCTTCTCTCTCAGGGCATTTTCTCCATCTGTTCATCTCGTGTCCTCCGCGGCATCCAGCACAGCTTCTTACACTTAATTGTTGCTCAATAAGTAGTAATTGAATTGATTTGGACTTAGCGTCGATACTTTTCTTATCATGTGCACTGAAGTACTATCTCCCTGAGTATTTTCTATCCTGGGTTCAGAAATTATAAGACCCATTTCCAAATGGCATCAAGATAGAAAACTTGTACTCTTTAGTTTTGAGAATAATTTCTGTTCTTTTCATCAGATTTTAGGAAGTGGAGAAGCAGGGGGTGGGGTAGGGGGCTAGCAACTTCGTGGGAATTTCAAGAGCTTTGAAGTTAGGTTTGAATCCCTGCTCCATCCCTGACCACCTGTGTGACGTTGAGCAAGTTCCTTAATCTCTCTGAACCTCAGTTTCTCTTCTCTGAAATGGAGACAAAAGTACCTATTTTATAAGTTTATTTACGAGAATTAAATTCGAAAGTTTCTGTTAAGCTCTAACCCAGTGCCTAGTATATAGTAAGTGTAAATCATTCCCATCATCCTCCTAATCCTAGGTGTAAATTAGTTTTCATAATCATCCTACCCTACCCATATTTAATTCCAGAATCAAATGTTGAGCCTTTCAATGAGCATATTGTGTACCTACTATTCACCTGGCCTGCTGCTGACTGTTGTAGGGGAGTCGGGGTAGAGATGGAGATGCAAAAACGGAATATGACAAGATTATAACCTGATTGAATTGGAGGATATTAGCGCAAGAACACTCATTGAACT